CAAATGTTACAAAGTAACCAAGTAAATTAAAATTGAAACATAATCAGTGGAAGACATGTATAGCACCAATGTTGCTGGATGCTCCAAGTAGGTTTCATTATGACATAACCAGATTACAGATGCCCTTTCCTTTTATAAAACAAATTTATCACTAGTAACTTTTTTCTGACAACTCAATAAAACTCAGAAATGATTGTCGTATGGTCTCCAGCTCTCATTGCACTGAGACATATGGGGGATTTTTTTTGATTGGGTAAGACCTCAACAATTAATATTTGGTGACCATGTCAATTAATTTAATTTAGACCACTTACAAGTTTTCCTTGTTTTTGTTTTTCGTTGATACAGGTGTAATGGTCGCCTGCCTGCAGGAGACAAAGGTCGAAAGTGCTCCAAATTTATTTTGGTAAGACGTGATGTTCCAAATGGGTTGAGGCAGGCATCTGCACATCGCATCTCTTCCCCCAAATCCTCAGAAGTAAGTTGAAACAATTAAAAGTGAGTGTCGTAACTTTCTTTTCATCAAAACCACATCAGCTTTTTATTTCTGTAAATTTTACAGCCCACCAAAGCAACTGAAAAATTCATCATCCGATACATCTTTTCAAATGAAGAAAGTGTACTTGTTGACTATGCTTCCGACAAAGAGACTGATATGTTCCAGGTTTGGTGATTTTCATCTAATTAATTCAATTCATTACACTTTTACTTTTAATAAAAGTCAAACTGTTTTTTAAATATTTTTTGAATAGATAGGAAGATCAGATGAAAATGACTTCCCTGTTCTCGGTAAAATTGCTGAAGGTAAAGGGAAAGCACGTGGATCCACAGTAGCAAAATATTCATGTAGAGTCCTTGCCAATAGAGCAAACAAAAGTGAGGTGCGGATCTATGCTGCGGGCTTTGATTCCAACAAAGAAATTGTTTTAGAAGTGTGTTTCTTTATTCATTTTTAATTCATTCATTTACCCATTACCTTGTTGGTTGTGGCAATTTATGCAATATATTTGGTTCTGCTATTTAGGAAAAAAAGGCAGTTAAATGGAAGAAGGGGAGTGATACAAATGTGGACGCATTGACATTCAATGGTATTTTACTCAATAACCCAGAGGGATCGTTTTGTGGGGGTGAGCTGGAAGCTGGTGTTTGGAGAGAGGTGTCCGTTTGTGGAAATATCCTTTCTCTCCGTGGTGTACGGTCTTCACATGAGAAAGGACGAGAAGTGAGTCGTTTAACTTTGTGTGTTTTGTTATTATATCTAATTTCTAACTAGGGAGTTATTTGACTGATTTGTTTTCAGATTAATACCTCTACTAATCTGCTAAGAGATGGTTCTCTGGTTGACTTGTGTGGAGCCACACTCCTCTGGAGATCAGCTGAGGGCTTACAGAAATGTATTGTAAGTTGTAATGATTTGAATTATTATTTTCACTTATAGAGGTAATTAAAAATCATGTTTTAAAGATTTTTATTCCTGTGCAGAATGAAAACTATATCAAAAATATTTTTAACAAATTAAGTGAATCCATTAATGATGTTTTCATAATTCCAAGGAAATATGTACGTGAAGAGCTTGAAGACAAGAAGCAATATCCACATGTTTATGTAAACTGTGGACATGTTCATAAAGGAAGACTGCTTCCTGAAGATTGTCCTTCTTGTCAAGTGGTCTGTCAACATTTTTAGTTCCGAGGTTAATAGTTTTACTATCACAAATGCATAATCCAAAAGTTACTAAGCGTCTTTCACATATGTCTTTCAGACTGGCCCTCACCAAAATTTATGTATGGGAATGGAGTTTGCATTTTATGTTGATGATGTTAATGATTCATTCACTCCAGAACTATATGCCTTCATTCCGTGTGGACACATAGCAACAGAGAAGACAGTAAAGTATGTTAATGAAATTTGTATGATGGGCGGCAGTAGCTCTCATTTTTGCCCAAACAACAACAATTTGCCACAATCGCACCAATTGAAATTACTGGTCAAAACTTAGTTATCTTTACATTCAGAAATTGCTGTGTCAAATGATGTTCTCATGGCATAATTTCTGACAGTCAAAGGTGATAAAATTTTGACCAGTGGTATCAACTGATGTCATTGAAAAAAATTTCTGTCCTTTGGTTGGTTTTGAATGTTATTTGATCGTACTCTTCTAGGTTTTGGGCAAGAACTCCGTTGCCTCATGGCAAGAGTGGCTACCAGTCCATTTGCCCCTTCTGTGGCACTGCTTTACAAGGATACCCAGGCTACATACATCTCAAATTTTGTGGTGGTTCAACTTAGCCTTGCTATGGGGATCCTGCCTGACTTCATCTGTGTTGACAACGAACTTCAGAATACTTGTGATAATACAAATAAGATGTAAACAAAACTGAAATAAAAACCCACTTATTTCTTAGAACAGATTCGATGTGATTTTTCAAACATAAAAACTGTACTTCACTACCTTCGTTCAATTTTTATTTGGTTTTCATTGTTTAGGAGAGATACACATTGACACATAGATTAATAATAATAATGACTGCAAAACAGATGTTGAGCAACACAATGTATTGAAAGAGAAACCAACAAAGGAAGTTCTTTGGTAATGTCAAATCTAAATTAAAACTTATTTGCCGAATCAAAATAAACAAAGCATGTGCCCCAAATGACTACAGCACAAATTTTACCTTGGTATTTGGCAAATTTTATGAGAAAGGAAATTCTATCTCATCTAACCAGGTACATAATATCCACAACCAGAATCACAGTTGGTTCTAAGGGTTTGAAGTGGAAATCAGAAAGTATACCTCTATTGGAGAGGTATAAATCATTTACAAACACATCAATGACATGAAAATCTTACAAACTTGTCATCAACAAAATTATCAGATTAATGAAATGAAATGTCACTACCTAACTGAACATATTAAGTTACAGGCTTATATGAAATAATACACAGAATTAGATCAGCTTTCTCAATTCAAGCACTCTTAAAGAGATGCACATGTGTAGTTTGTGAAGGAAATAGATATGTTTATGACAACTGCTTTCAGTTCAAATCTCTAACAAGCAACCAATGCAAAGGGTTAAGGTGGTATGGGACATGTAAGCCAATTAAATTATGGACACCACTTCTAACATTATAATGACACAATATACTACGAATGATTTTTAAATATTCAGATCAATGAAATAAAGTATCTTGAATTGCTTTGAATCAAAACTCCACAACTCTGAATGCAAGAAGTTTCATTATGACCATCCTTACATTTAAGAAAATGGCACTTTGACCTAACACCCTTACCAACCCCTGGCCCTGGACCTGTCTCATGAATGGTCTTCCATTACTATATATATAATACATACATACATACATATAAATCACACTTAATAGAGCTGAAGAAAAATGAAACATATTCATTATACAGAAACAACTCTTAAGAGTCTACAAGAAAACATTTGGACACCAAAAGCATTACTGTATATGAAAAATGACAAAAGGGTTGGGGAGGAGAGGGTGACAGAGAGAAAAATGCATATGTACAGATAATGAATGAAGTAGTTCAATGCGATATTGCAAAATTGTACATTAACATACAAGTTATACATCAAAATTTCCGGATAGTGGGACTTACATACCTAAAAGGGTGCTCAGAACCCACTTCAGCTACGCAGTTCTCATTACAGCGTACCTGACACCTGACATTAAATACAACTGTGCCAATGATGGGACCTGACTAAGCCAAACTGAACAACTGGACTTGACTGACAACGCACATATTACTCAATATGGCATGAAAAATGAACCACTATTTCAAGCCTCCAACAAATAATTATGGAAGAACAAGAAAAGTTTTTAAAGAAGTCAAATCATTGTTGTACACATACACATCCACTAAACAAAAGAAACCCTGAAAAGACCATCCAAGCTCTTGCCATAAAACAAAAACATGCTAATCCAGGGAGATTCCAACTTATTTCAAAATAAATAGATAGATAAAC